CACCCTCAGCCTTCTTCTGAGACAGGGTCTTGTTACACTCCCCAGGCTGACATCAAACTTGCCACTCTCCTGTCTCAGTCTCCCAAGTAACGGGGCTTGAGTATGACCCTTTTTAAAGATGCACTCATCAATAAAAAAAAACCCAAAAACCAGTAACAAGAGGCTAGTGATAAGAGCGGAGACATTTCTGCAATTTTTTACAGATGTTTTATAAACTGCAATTGGGGTAACAGGATGTAGTTTTTATCCATAGTTAGCTTAGTTCTGAGTACAATGATTTGCTATCTCCCATAGTCTCCACCCTCTGTAGGCCTTGCAGCAAATGAGGAAGGCAGTGAAGTAGCAACAAGTACTGGCATGAGACTGCTGGCTATTCACTGAATCCCAACAGGGTGACCTTCACAGCCAACAAGCCCTGCCTGGTCCTTATAAGTGAAGTTGCTCGCAACACTATTATCTTCATGGTAGAGCAGCTAACCCTTGTGCTAACTAAAATATTCTTATTCTTTGCACCTCTTCCTATTTTGGTTTGTGGACAGAAATAAAGATAAATACAACTGGTACTATCACCAAAAAAACAAAACAAAAAACAACAACAACAAAAAAAACTTTTTAGTCATGCATGGTGGCACAGGCCTGTAATTCCAGGACTTGGGAGGCTGAGACAGAAGGAGTACCGTGAGTTCAAGGACAGCTTGGGCTACACAGCGAGATCTGTCTCAAAAAAAGACTTTCAGTCCTAGTACAAATTAGTATTATATTCTACCTTAGACAGTTTTTAATCTTTAATATACTACTTTCCTCTGCAGCACTATTCTGAAAATGACACATTAGTCCTGCCTAGTACTGACAAATCAGATTTAAATTAAGTAACAAACTTGTTTGTAAAGCTGTTTCATTGAAAACTCACAGAGATAATTCTTTACACTGCACAGTCTTTTTGAGACAGGGTGTCACTATGTAGTTGAGACTACCCTGGAACTCACTATGTAGCCCAGACTGGTCTCTAATTTACAGAGATCCTCCTGCCTCAGCCTCCTGAGTGTTGGGATTACAGGCGTGCACCACCACGCCCGTCTGCACATGCAGTCTAACAGCAGGTCTCCAGGAAACAGCAAACACAGTGAAATAAATAGTACACAGAAAGAAAAGACTTCAGGAGAAAAAGCTGTTGATGTCTTCCCTTTAGCAGCCTTTAGTGACCACTGCCTGCCCTGGATTTCCTAGTTAACAGGAGACCCTCAGGCACACTGCACATCTACATGTGTGAGAAAAGGAAAGATACTGGAAAGTAGCTATCACATTTCTTACAAGGCAAGCCGGGCATGGTGGCGCACACCTATAATCCCAGCACGCGGGAGGCTGAGGCAGGAGGATCACTGTGAGTTCCAGAACTGCCTGGGCTACATAGTGAGTTCCAGGTTAGTCTCAACAGCACAATGAGACATTGTTTCAAAAAACCAAAAAAATTCTTACAAGGCAAAAAGCTTTAATGCTATTTTCACAATCTATATGTGAGAACAATTTCAGAATGCTACAATTCAATCTTGAGTTGTTCTATGTGCTGATTTAGTTTTAACATCAAGGTTTTGCGCAGGCCTTCTGTCCTTTCACAACTCCACAATCTGCTTTAAACAATCCCCTATAAAAACAGAATTCTGAGTTATATATAATCAGCATATCTTCTCAAAGATTTTAGGTGTTCGTTCACACAGTACTTAAAACCTGTTAGTTTTCTCTCAGGAAGTATGTATTCAAAGTAATGGGGGGAAAGATTATAAAGAAACCACCAGTAATAAGCCTGTTAAGCTATTCTAACAGCCATGAGTGGGAGAGGCAGGGAAAGTTCCCTTATCAGAGTGGGCAGACTCATGTCTTGGCCCAATGCTCCCACTTAAATTAAAAGCAGAGAGTGCCTATAGCAGTTTTAGGCAAACTTAGGTGGCAAGGGAATATCTGAATCCACCTGCTACTTCCCCAAGATCAATCAGACAAGCAAACTAAGGGCAGACACTAGGAATGGCTTGAGAAGTAACTCAGTATTTAGTTCTCTGAATTTCTGCAGCATAAAATCTTATACGACAGGGAAACCAATAACTATAAAAACTAGGTATAATTAGGTATGAGAGCATATACTATAAGCCTGAAAGCTGCAGGTTTTCAAGATGTTAATATGATATATTTAAAGTGTTTCTAAAAAGTTAACTTTGAGGACCGGGGATTTAGCTCAGTGGTGCCACTGCCTGCCTCACAAACGCAAGGTTCTGTGTTTGACCCCTGAACCAACACCCCCCCAAGAGTTAACTTTAAAACTGGTTCTACTTTAGTTTTAACTGGTTCTAGGTACACAGAAATAAACCTTTCATTAGGCTCAATTTGAAAACAAAGCATTTTCCTGTTATCAACTAATGAAATAAGGTTACAAAAATTACAGAGGACATTAACAATAGATTACCCATATCGCTCACAACATTATTTTGTTTTTGTTTTTTTGAGACAAGTCTATATAGTTGAGTCTGACCTGGAACTCACTATGTAGCCCACACTGATCTCAAACTCACAGCGATCCTCCTGTCTCAGCCTGAGTGCTGCGATTACAGGCACGTGCCACCATGCCCTGCCCCTCACTGACATTATTTAACTCAGAAGTATCAACAGAGCAGTGCAGTGCCCGGGCATTTACAAAACCAAAGATCTGTGTCCTCACTGCTCCTATATTATGGTGAAAGTCTCCGCCCTCTGACTCAGCCCCATGTCTAAAAAAGAGAGAGTAGTGTTTTCCTCATAGGACTGCTAGGAGCTAAATGAAACAATGTGGGGCAAATGCTTGGTAAGGTACTAATGAAACATTTATTGATGCTTTTTTAGTTATCAAATGCTTTATTATCAGTGAACTTAACTATGTAGCAAGAGGGAAAAAAAATGATAAAAGTAGGGCCCCAAAGTGCACTGGCTCCCTTAAACATGGAGCTAATCTTGTTTTGTAACTTTTTCAGGAAACCATTTCCTGAGCAATACACCTTCAGCAGATACCACCGGCAATGACTAATCTGCCTTCAGCATGGAAGGTTAAAACATGTAGACTGAGCTCAGTCTTACCCTCCCATGAGCTCCTTCCTTCCTTCCCTCTGCTACATAAGGTTCCTCCTCCAGAGCTAGACAGACTCTGCCCTCAGCCTCAGTGATCACTGTGGTCCTGATCACAGCTGCTGCACCAACACAGCCTGGAAGCCAGGTATCCTCAAGTCCAAGCTTGCACGTGTCTCTTAGCAAGCACCAGCCTTCTCCAAGAAGCAGGAAAAGGTGACCTTCCCTATCCTACCCTTCAGCACGAGATCCTCCGGAGTAAACAGGGAGACATTTTAAAATATGAATTCAATTAAAGCATATCAAATTCTAATTTTTACCTTGATTAAAACTACCAAGGAAGACAGATAAAACATGGAACACACACACCTTCAGTTCTTTAACTCAGCACTGAGAACTGGGTTTTTTCTCTAATCTCACTGATTGGTATTTAAGTATGAATCAAGGTATTATAAGCAGCATTCAAAGAAAGAAAAGATATGAAAGTGTAAATACTTTACTTAAAATAATTCCTTTAAGATCTTATACCCCACACACACCAGGGATCGAACTCAGGACCTCCCATTTGCAAGGCAGGAGTGGCGCCACTGAGCTAGATCCCCTGCCCAAATAATACCTTCTCATCATTGTCAACTTAACAGTTGAGATATCTGGAAGTAAGGATTACTGGTCCCTGTCTTTTCAGGTATTACTGAATGTTATCAATTAAGATGTCTATTTCTGAGCCAGGCATAGTGGTGCGTGTTTATAATCCCAACACTTGGGAGGTTGAGTCTGACACATAAGGATTACCAGAAGTTCCAGGACAGCCTCACCTAGCAAAACCCTGTCTCAAAACAGACACAAACCTCCTCTTCCTTCCTTCCCTTTTCTATCCATGTCTGATACATGTGATGAAAAAGGTCACTTTGCTTAAAAACTTGTTTTTAAGAAGCAGGTTAACACATCACATTTTGCTCATGAGCACAAAATTTAGTCAGTAGTTGCACATAAAGGGTTTATTTTAAATGTTTTAAGGATAGGATAGAGATACATCATAATTATAAAAATTACTTACAGAATTAACAGATTTATATTGTGTATACTTCTAAATGCAAAGAACAGGAAACTGTCTACACATTGTATGAAATAAAATTAAAATTAAAAATGAATTCAAGCTCGAAAGATGAGGTCATTTACCTAGTTTTAAAATGTGAACACGAAGACCTCTGAACTATACACATTCATCCAAACTGCACTAATGATGGAAAATACGAAGAGCGCAGCATTTCCAAGGAACCACAGACATTTCGCCCATAATCAATTTGTTATAATAATTGTTCCTTTTTTGGTCTTTGGAGAACTTTCATTTTTTAAGACAATCATCTTAAGAGTGTTTTCAGGCACTACAATTTGTGACAATCAGAACAGTCTTCTAATGGATCTACAGTGTTCAGAGATTCAAGCCCAATGCACTTCAGGATTTGGCACATAAAACAAGAATAGAAATGAAATCTGGTTTAGAAGTAACTGTGATTTTTAAATAATGCACAGTCCCTTCAAATGCTGCATGACATATACAACGGGAAAATCACCTTCTGTTGGCACTACATTTGCTTCACCAGTGCATTTTTATCCTACAACCACTAGAACAGCACAGTAAGCAAATATACAGGAAACTGAAAACAAATAAAAAGAAACGAAAACAAACAAACAAAAAAAAAAACCTAAATATCTTTAACATGCAATTTTAGTTAGTTACACTGAACATTCTACTTAGAATAGAGCATGCAAAAAAGGATGGTCTGCTTTTAAGGTTCTTTCTGAAAGTTTTACGTGGCAGCCTGACATCACACACGCACGCACACACAATACAATACTAGAGCAGGTAAATGAAAGGCCAATAAATTTTATACATAGATTCATGTCTTGTGTTGTCACAAGTCCCATGATAATTTTGGAAATTAATGTTGAATTCCTCGAACAAGGAACCAACATTCAGATACCAGAAAAATGCAAGCAGTGCATGCAGGTCTGAAACATGAGCCTAAAATGAAGCCCAAGACACACGGGCTCCGGAGCAGAATTAGTCACAGCATTAAATGAGGTATAAGTCACCAAAAGAAAAAAGAATGGGAAAAAATATGGAAAAACAAAAATAACAAAAACCCCTTCCCCTTCCCTCAGCCCAAAAGGTAATGAATGGAACAATGATTAAAATCATCACCGTGTTGCATTCCTCTAGACTGGGAGATCATGGGTATATTAAAGTTGCTAAAGTTGCTTGCAGAAAAACCACAATGCAAGTCATTAGGTAACGCCAGAAATATTTCAATTGACCCAACCCTTGGGATACTTTGAAAGGAACTTTATTTTCAGCCTGAAGTCACTGCGCCACATTCTGCACAACCTTCTGTGCGTGCTGGACACACTCACCATCTTGTGCCACATGTCAGTATGGGCTCTGGGAGCCAGGCTCAGCTCTGAGATTTACATGCAGGGAAACAGCAGATCTGCAGGATGACACCTGTTCACACACACAAGAAGCATCTATGACTGGGGCATCACACTGCTTTGAGAAGCTCGCCCCTTGGTGAAGCTGCCCACGGTGAAGCACTGGGCACAGGACGACTGCAGCTGGTGACAAAGAATCGGTGCACTATGTTCATATGGTGAGCAGTCATTACCATCCAAAAGCACAAGGCACAAGCCTTCAGGAAAGCAAAAATAGGCATTAAGCAAACCATACACCGTGAGGCCCTAAACTGGAATGATTGCGAACATAAAGAACAGCCCCCAAAGACATCACAAGGACCTCAATCCGAACCTCTGGTGTTTAGTAATAGACAGCAAACCCACGTAGTTTGCTCAAACCACAGGTCAGATTTCTCATCTCCACAAGACTGGTTTCACACGCCACCTTTTTCCTGTCAAACCAACTTGTGGTTCTATTTCAGATTTGAACAACCTTACAGGAATAATCCATGAAAAGATTCTGTGGTGAAGGGCTGCTATTATACCGGCAAGCCAAGATGGATGACTTCTGTGGCAACATATCATTGACATGCACACCCCCAGGGGCCACTGGAAGAAATGAACCCACATTTACAGAATACCTGGGGCAAGAACATACACCTGTACCACCACAAAAGATCAAGCTGTCATATGTCCAGATGTTTCTTGTGGGGCAAAGCTAGGGGAAGGGATAGGGAAGGAGAAAAGAGGCCTTCTGACCATAACCATATACTAGCAATAAAAGAAAAACAAAACAAAAAATAAGTTCCAGAAAACATATTAGAAGGCAACAATGCCATTCTTAAACTTAAATACAAAAGCACTGTTCTTCCAGGAACTCACCACATACACACAAGCCATTGATGTACTGTTGCCTTTTAAATCCATGAACTAAAACAGATTACTAGTCTGTATAAGTAATGGGCCAAATGTGCCATCCAAGACACATACATGTCATTCTGAGTGAACAAAGGACCTGGACTGAGCTAAAAACTACTCAAAATTAAAATGTAAACAAAACAACTGATAAAGTTTAGAATTAAAGGCAGCCTTTTACCCAGATTTCTTACCAGTCAACCAAATGTGGGTCATTAACTGTTCAAAAGTAATTTATATTTGGACTTACAGTTTAAAGCCTCCAGATGAAATAGGTTCTCTGAACTCCTGATCTGCAAAATAATGGAATGTGCCTATGTGCTTCCTGTGCCCCATTTAATTTTAAATAAAGAGCAGGGATATCATAAATATGACTGACTTGGGTCAAGCACTCCAGTTGAAGTGGAGAAAACTTATCACCCCATCCTAATCCATGGGGAAAGACTACCAGTGGTGTGTGTGTGCACATATATACGCAGGCACACAGATACAGATATAGATAGGTATAGATACATATATCTAAAAAAAAGGGCAGTAACAAAAATACCAAACTATGCTTGCATTGTGGCAGAATAAGACAGTGTTAAAGTGAAGGGGGAAATGATTAAGATCTATTACAGATTTAAATGACTATGATACTAGCTTAACTTTTACCAAACTTGCCTGTAACTCCCCTCCCAACAGACAGACTTCTTGTAAGACGAAGAAGTTCTCCTTACACAAAATGCTTTGTGTTCACATCAAGCTGTACTATTCAGAACAAAACCAGTTCTGCTGGCAGAGATTGTGGGTTCGCAGGGACATTTAAGCTTTCATTAAACTGGAAAGCAATCAAGTCTTTATGTCTACAAATTATACATTTAATAGTTCCACAAATTTGGCAAAGTTCGCGATGACATCTAGGATGTTTTCACCAAATCGTAGACATAAATATGGAAATCGTCATCAAACTTGATGAAATAGACGGACGGTTTGGCTTCTACTTGATGAATGACCATGCCAGTCCTTTTCGAGCCATCTTCTTTGGCATATTCCACTTGTTTGCCTACCAGGCTGTCCACAACTTCTCCTGGTTCCCTTTCTGCTGGAGGTGAATCATCTATATTTATAAGAAAAAAAATTTAAATAAATCTTCAGATACACACCAACTCATTTATTTAATAGTATTTACTTACAAATTTTAAACATCCTAAATTCATCATTGATTGCTAGACCACCAGCTGACCAACTTTTTCTTAAAGGGCAATAACAGTAAATGTTTAAGGTTTGAGGGCCACATGAGTGTGTGATGTTGCAATAAAATATCATTTACAAAAGTTTGCCAACCTCTGATTTAGGTAGATACATATATGAATAATTAAAAAAAAAATCACAGCCAACAGTTCATTTGGTTCATGTCAAAATACAGTTGTAATTACCAAAAAATAAGTCTGCCTTAGAATTTCAAGACAAATAATTCCTATAGGGATGACCGAGAATATGTTACTGATTTAATATGCCTATGTAATGTTATTGGTTTTACTCCAAATCCTTAACACATGTTCCCCTCAACTTCATTTCATTCCACATCATCTTAATAATCCAGTGTTAAAATAAATTTCCCAATCTTTAAAAACAGGTGCTACCTGAACTCCAGGTCCAGACCCAGTACAACAGAATCCCCAAGGGTGCTCAGGCACCAGTTCTGTCTAGAAGAGCCCCAGGAAAACACAGGCCCCATGACCTCGGCAGAAACAGTACTACAGCAAAACACCATCACTATCACCACTGAAGGGGGGAGAGTGAAAGAAAAGGGGGCAAGGCAGCTACAATTCTATTTTGTTTGTTTGTTTTAGTACTGGGGATTGAATTCCGGTCCTTGTGCTTGCAAGGCAGGCACCAGAACCACTAAGCTAAATCCCCAGCCCTACAATTCTATTTTAATAAACTCTTTACATGTTTTGAATATTAGGATTTCACCCTTATAGCAGCAGCAGCTTGTCTTTAGGTAGGGTGAACTGATGTTCCAGCTGCACAAAGTCTGTGCTATCTTGGCACAAGTAGTAGCAGTAACCCTGTTTATTCTCACAAGTACAGCATCGTAGTTTGGACCTCACAATATTTACATTAATGGCTGTTTGTCTCCTAATTGCAATAAATTTTCTCATTAAACAAAAATCTAGAAATTATTTTGATATGTGCTACAGCCATACAAAATACTAGTTAAACATCTGTATGCAATCAGTTCCTTTAAACAGGTTAGTGAGGGAAAAACTGAATTATTTTCTTTAAAAAATTATCTGCCCAATGGGCCAGGGATTTAGCTCAGTAGTTCCGCTGCCTGCCTCACAAGCCCAAGGTCCCCAGTTCGATCCCTGGTATTACTAAAAAAAAAAAAAAAAAAAAAAATCTGGCCAGGGCCAGGCTTGGGAGGCAGAGGTAGGAGAATTGCCGCAAGTTTGAGGCTAGCCTGGGCTACACAGTACAGAGCCAGCCTGAACTACAAAGCAAGAACCTGAACTACAAAGTGAGACCCTATCTTAAAATAAATACATAAATAATCCGCTCTCAAGCTGGGTATGATGGTGCATACCTATAATCCCAGCACTCTGAAAGGCTGAGGCAAGAGGATCACAAGTTCAAGCCCGGCCTGGACAACTAATGACTTAGTGATACCCTGCCTTAAAATCATATTAAACTAAATTTTATTTTATTTTTGGTACTGGGGATCAAACTCAGGCACTTGCGCTTGTGACGCAGGCGGCAGAACCACTGAGCCAAACCCCTGGGCCCATATTAAATTAAATTTTAAAAGGGCTGGAGATACAGCTCAGGCCAAAAATCCTGGGTTCAATTCTCAGTATATGGAAGGGACAAGCAGAGAGACAGAAAGGTGTAAGAATTAATGTGCAAATGATCTTGTGCTTTCTAATAGGCTACAATTTGACAGGATACTTCATTATAAAAATGTTAAAAATGAACTTCACAGCTGGAGGGTGGCACAAGCCTATAATATATATAGCCTATATATAGCCTGTCTCTAAAAAACAACAACAACAGCAACAACAACAAAAGGGATGTTGCAAAGGCTCAGTGCAAAGGCCTTGGACTCAATCTCCTGACTCCAAAATTCACACAGGTCAGAGAACTGCTTTGAAGGAATGCTCTTAAGATAATTACATCCCTTTGCATAATTTCCATTGTTATCCCCCTTATAATACATGAATATACCCAAACTTAAAAAAAAAAAAACCAACAACTAAGAAATAGATATTCAAGGTCTGTTGAGCATACTAGTTAACTTCATTTAAAAATATAAAGCAAAAAAGAATAGAGATGACTGTCATTCTGCTAACATCAAAGTTGTGTCTGACAGTCACATTTCTCCAAGGTCAGGCAGGGACCCATGTGTTCCAGAAGACTATTTATATTCAGCAGTTTAAAAAAAAAGAAAGCCTTGGGGCCAGGAATTTAGCTCAGTGGCACCTCTGCCTGCTTCACAAGCACAAGGATGTGACTTCGATCCCTGGTACCAAAAAAAACCCCCAAACAAACAAAAAATCCCAGCCTTATCCAAAACTGAAATTACAAAAACTGTTCCATTCACAATAGCATCAAAGAGAATAGAAATACTTTATCAAAGGAAATACAATGCTTATACTTTGAATATTACAATGCATTATTGAAAAACATCAAAGATTTCAATAAATGGAAATTTATTGTGGTCCTAGCTACTTGAGAAGCTGAGGCAGGAAGATCTCTTGAACCCAGGAATTTGAGACCAGCCTGGGCAACAGGATCCCATTTCAAAAAAAAAAAAAAGGTGCAAGAGAAAATACTATTCATTCTCATGGACTGGAGCATTTACTGAGATTTATTAGCACTTAAGGTGGCAATATTACACAACCTGATCTACAGATTCAACACACTCCATTATCATAGAATCCTAGCAGACCTATTTATAGAAACTGACAGGCCGATTTAAAAATTCACATGGAATTGTGTAGAACCCAGAATATCCAAAGCAATCCTGAAAATGATCAAAGTAAAAGCCTCACATTTCACAATTTAAAAACTTACTGCAGAGCAATATAACATGACAATGTGGAAGTTACATAAATGATAGACCTACAAAACAGAGAATCCAGAAATACAGTGAGATATCCATAATCAAATGATTCTCAGCAATGGTGTCAAAACTTCTATGAGAGAAGGAAGATGTAAAAACTGGTGCTCAGACAACTGGACAGCCACAAGTAAAAGAATGAAGCTGAATCTTTACTTCATATAATAAACAAAAATTAATTCAACCAAGGAGAATTAATAAACCAGGGAGAAAACATAGAGAAAAGAAAGTGAAGACAATCATCCACAGAATGGAAAAGAGTATGGCAAATTGTATTATCTGATAAAGGGCTTATATCTAGAATACTATTACCATCCAACAATAAAAGACAATCCAATAAAAGAATGAGCAGGGGATCTGAACAGACAGCTCAAAAAAGATACAGTAAGCACATGAAAAGATTCTTCTGGGGCTGGGGGTTTGGTTTAGTGGTTCTGCCACCTGCCTTGCAAGCACAAGGCCCAAGCCCAAACCCCAGTACAAAAAAAAAAATTTGTCACAGAAAAGATCCTTTTGACATTATTAGTCAACAGGTAAACATAATTCAAAAACCACAATGTGAGATAGCACTACATACTTACTGGTAGGACAGCTAGAATCAGGTAACACCAAGTCTGGTGAGAATGTGAGAAAGCAAAGCCCTAATATACTGCTAACAGGGGTATAGAATAATGTGTCCATTTTGAAAATTAGTTACCATAATGGAGTTACTACACAGCAATTCTACTCCTAGGTATATACTCAAAAAAATTAAAACAAATATCCACAAACTTGTACAACATTCACAATGCCATGTTCATTATAACCAAATGACCATGACTAGATGAACAAGCAAAATGTGGTATCTATACAATGGAATACTTAGTCGTTAAAAGGAAATACAGTACTGTTACACGGTACAACATGGGTGAACTCTGAAAACATGCTAAGTGATAAGAAAGTCACAAAGGACCCTGTATTATTTTATATAATCCATTCACACAGAAGTTCACAATAGGAAAATCTATACAGAAGGTAAATTAGTGGTTGTTTAGGAGTATGAGGAAGCAATAGGGGGTATAAGGAAATGATGGTTAAAAAGATACATGGTGGGCCAGGGACTCAGCTCAGTGGTTCTCCACCTGCCTCGAAAGTGCAAGGACCTAAGTTCGTTCCCCAGTGCCTGCCCTCCCAAAAAGAAAGATACATCACTCCTCTCACGATGATGAAAATGTTTTAAAACTGACCATGTTGAGGACTGCATATATCTGCAAATATACTTAAAAACCTTGGATTGCACATCTTAAATGGTAACTATGTAAGAATTATATCACAATAAAATTTTTTGTATTTTAAACCAGGCCTGATAAAATCATGTCATACATACCCTTTTCTACCTTCGCCACATGAATTTAAATGACTTGAGAATACTTATGCAAACAGCTAAATAGACTAGACTTTCTAGTTACTTCTGAAAGGTTCCCCAATTACCAATTTTATGAACTCAGTTAAGTTCAAACTATTTACCAATAAAATGACAAACCTGAAGGGTAAGCTTCAAAATAATTCAGTTGAAGAGTACATAAAATAAGACTGGTGGGGCCGGGAATTTAGTTCAGTGGCACCATGCCTGCCTCGCAAGCGCAAGGTCCTGAGTTCAATTCCCAGTACCCCAAAAAAGAAAACAAAAACACTGGCAATGAACTAACAGCTGCTAAGGTTGAATGGAATAGATTTATTTTGCTGTTCCCATGGCTTCAAATATTTTTAAATAAATAACACAGCAATATTAATAAAATAAATTTTAAAATAACCTTCATTGTATTATAGAAGCCAAGTAAAAATTATCATCAGACTTTTCTCATGTAAAAAAAATTTTTTTTCGTACTGGGGATTGATACTCAGGTCCTTATGCTTGCAAGCAGGCGGAGGAACCACTGAGCTAAAACTCCCTGGCCCTTCTCATCTAACATTTAACAAGAGGGTAAAAACTGTAGAGCATTTGTGCATGGCTAAAAGAATCATCACATCTCCAAAATTTAATAATGCATCTGCAAAACAGTTAAATATCTCAAAATCCAAATTCCTTTTGAATTATTAACACTGAAAGTTGTCAATATATACTTACTAGAATCGGGCATGATGCGAAGGTCGCCCTCTTTGTAATCATCTAGGAGCTGGTACATGTATAAGACAGGGTCTTTCTCATAAGTGATGTAAAACCATGTGTTCATGACAGGTGCCCGTGCTAAAACCATTCCCCTCCATTCATCTTTCGAGCCATCCTCAGTCTCGAACATATGCTCCACTGCTTTACCAATCATCGTGTCTGCTAAGTGTGCATCGCTGATTCGAGATGTTGCTGAGGATTTAAAAGGAAAAAAAGAAAGGTTGAAAAGTGCTTCACTGAATAATTCCTAAGAAGACAACTTAATAAAGCAGACTACTTGAAGTTTTGTCCACGCACTGTATTAGTGAACATGAAAATTAACGAGGAGGGCTTTAAGAAGTACAACCACCAAATGCAAGCTACTGGGCCACAGCCTAGAGATAGACTTTAGTCCAAATCAATTGAGAGAATCTATTTATATTTTTATTTTTCTAGACTATTCTGCTCTTGGTTCAGTACCTAAATATGAAACACATCAAGCTACAGAGTGGTTTTGATATTGTCTAACAATTACTTTTAAGTGCTAGGATAAGTTTAGACTTGGAGCAGAATAGCAAAAAAACGGAAGCATTCCTAGGCAGAGTTCACCTTGCTTTCTTTCCCTTCATGGTTACAGTTTATATAACCACAGAACATGTATGGATGCTTTTTGAGACAGGGTTTCACTATGTAGTTCAGGTTGGCCTTAACTATGTAGCCCAGGCTGGCCTCAAACTCATGGCAATCCTCCTGTCTCAGCCTCCAGAGTGCTGGGATTACAGGCGTGTGCCACCATATCTGACACCATAGAACATTTATTAAAACTAAGAAATTAATCTCTTCAAGGTTTATGTTGTTTTTGTTGTTGCTTTAAAATAAAGGTTTATATCTCATCAACTTTATTTTTGTGGTCTATTGTAAAGGCATAGTTTTTACTTTTCCCTCTATCTGTTCTCCATAGCAACCAGATTACTGTGACATTTCCATGAGATGTGTCATTTAAAATGTTCCCAAGCCTTCCCCGACTAATTTTTAAAAATAACCAAATGCTCCCCAAGGTGCATCAGCCCTAGGCCGTCCTGCCCCAACCCTAGGTTTTGCCATCTTCTTCCTCACTGCCCACACCTCCACCCTACTCCTCTACTGCCTGTCTCTTGGATGACCCCGATTCTCCTCCCCAGGCAGGCAATCTGTCCTCTGCCTCTAATACCAGCGGGAGGATCCTCCTGCAGTATGCTCCTTCTGAGGGCGCTCCAGGAACACCTGGGCAAAATAGTGCCACCTTATGCTACTTATATTCCATAGTAACATTCCCACCACCTAAAGTTAATTTGCTGTATGTATTTGTTTACTTATTTAATGCCTGCACATCTCCTGAGAGCAGAGACATTCTCTCTGTTTCTGATGCTTAGGCACAGTCTAGTTATTTGTTGTAGAATTTCAGCAGATGGCTGGTGTGATTTGAGAGCACAGGCCTCCCTAATGGTACAAAGACAGCTTTAGCCTTACTCTTTTATCTTTTTTTTTTTGGTTTTTTGAGACTGGGTCTCACTTATGTAGTTGAGCCTGACCTGGAACTCACTGTGTAGCTCAGGCTGCTCTCGAACTCACAGGGATCCTCCTGCCTCAGCCTCCTGAGTGCTGGGATTACAGGCGTGCAGCACCACGCCCAGCTTCTTACTCTTTTATCTTTTTAAAAACAGTTAAAAGCCAGACTTGGTGGCACTTGCCTGGAATCCCAGCAACTTGGGAGGATGAGGCAGAAGGGTCACTAAGTTTAAGGCCAGCCTGAGTAACTTAGTGAGTGAGATCCTGTCTCAAAAAGTAAAAAGGGCGCAGAATACATACAGCTCAGTAGTAATGTCTTCCTGAGTTTGATACCCAACCCAGCACTGCAAAAAAGAACCTTAAAATACATTAGCATTCCTATTTTACACCAGGTTTTTGTTTCTGTTAAACAATACAGTTACTTTTTTCTTTTCTTTTTTTTTGTACCAGGGATCGAACTTGGCACCTGTGCTTGCAAGGCACCACTGAGCTAAAGCCCCATCCACAAAAAGTTAATTTGTTTGATAAATGTACTGCTATTTAATTTAATCAGGATACCAAAAATAGAATTCCCCCCTGCCTGACACTAAAAAAGAAGAAGAGTTGTTCTGGCAAACAGAAAACTGGAGCCCTTGGGCACTTTTGTTGGTGGGGCTGTAAAGAACTGGGGGGGGGGTGCTGGGAATCAAACCAACAAACATTGGCTTCCTCATGTTAGCACATCTCAGACTACTGATCTCACAACTTCTCTACGTTGTTAAAAATTACCCAGGATCTAAAAGAGCATTCATTTATATGGATTTATTAAATATGTCAATATTTACTATTTGAAAAAATAAAAATTAATTTAAAATACTTAAAATAACTACACAATAATGCAATTTAGTTAAAAAAATAAAGCCAGGCATAGTGGCAACTACCTGTACTCCCCAACACTTGGGGAGGTTAAAGCACAAAGATTTCAAGTTTGAGTCCAGCCTGGGCAATGCAGAGATTTTGCAAAATCCTACCTCAAAATTTACAACAGAGACATGGATAGGGAGTAGTGGAGATGTAGATTAGCGGAAAAGTCCAGGGTACAACCCATGGTACCAAAACAAAACAAAAACTCCTACACTTTCTAACTAAAATTTATGAAGAGTGGCATAATTTTTACATTTTGGCAAATCAAAGTCTAGCTTTAAAAGAACAATTTAATTTTCTTATCTGCTTCAACAACATTTAACTTGCTGTGATGTTTTTAATTTAACATACAATCCTGTATCTCAAAGATATGCTGATAAAGGGTATTCTAATCATTTTAGGGTAAATCTGCATAGTTTTTTTGAAACTACATAAAAAAATCAACAACTGGCAGCTCCCTGAATGTTAAGTGCAACACAGATTCTGAAACAATTACCAATAAACTTGACATACAATTACATTAAAACCTGTGTTTTTAGAATAAAGAACTCCAACAGCTCAACAACAAACAATCCAATTTAAAAAAGATCAGAAGACTTGAGCTATTTCTCCAAAATGATATACAAGTGGCTGACAAGCACCCAAAGGATTCTCAACATGATTAATTGCAACTCAAAAGCACAAGGAATCACCTCACATCCATTAGGCTAAATAACTACCATCAAAAATAGAAACAAGGAAGAAAAGGAAGGAGGAAGGAGGAGAAGAGTTGTTCTGGCAAAGTGTTAGAGAACTGGAGCCCTTGCGCACTGCTGGTGGGACTGTAAAGAACTGGGCGGGGGGGAATGGAGGCGTTGGGAATCAAACTCTAGGCAAGTGCACTATCAGTGAGCTAAACCCCTGGTAGGTCTATAAAGTGGTGCAACTGTAGAGAAAAACACTAGAACAGGCCAATTTATAAAAGTCAAAGTAGAATTACTATATCCCATTTCTGGGTATATATCCAAAAGAACTGAAAAGAGGCTTTCAAGTAAGTACTTGTATACCCATGTTCATATAAGCATGACTCAATTTTACATGGCACAATTTTACATATAACAAGAAGTAAAAACTCAAATGTCCATCGGTGGATGAATAGGGAAACAAAAGGTTGTATATATTTTCAGTCTAAAAAGAGAAGAAAATCCTGTGCTATTACGAGATGAACCTTAAGTACATTATGCTCAGTGAAAGAAGCCAGTCACTGAAAGACAAATCTTGTATGAGGTACCTAGAGTAGCCAAATTCATAACAGAGACAGAAAATATACAAGGTGAATGCTGGGATCTAAGAAAGAAGGAAACAAAAGACAGAGGCTGTTTATTGGATACAGAGTTCCATACTGCAAGAATAGTTCACATCAATGTGAACATACTTACTTACCCTTACTGAACTGTACACTTAAAAAGTGGTTAAGACAGCAAATTAAACATTAATTTTATGAAAATAATTCTGACCTTGCAAACTTTCTGTATGGGCTTCAGGAAACTTGGAAAACACTGCTCTGTCATCGGACAATTAGATGACATTTTTCCTCCACCATCAGGTTAAAGAAAATATACTGCCAGGCATGGTGGTACATGCCTAAAGTCCTAGCACACAGGAGGCTGAGGAAGGCCACAAGTTCAAGGACAGCCTAGGCTACACAGTGAATTCAAGGCCAGCCTGAACTACATAGTAAGACCATGTCTTGGGGAGAAAAAAATGTGTGTCTGTGTGTGTGTGCACATCTACAGTCCAGTGTACCACCTTAAGCAATTACAGAGACTGTTTTCTTCCCACACAATATAAAAAAAGGGCAAATAATTTGTAGACTTATCACTGTGTATACAGAAGTTAATAGCATCTATGAACTGAACTGGATACACCATATGTTACCAATTTGTACCTATGCTTTGGATCCCTCTTTCCAAGCTGCAGTAACCATTTACAGTTACAAGAATCCATGTCTACTGCTGGAAAATGGTAAAACCCACAAATGACATCATGTAACCACTGATCCTAATTCAAGAGATGCTTGTCTACATTTGTCCTAAGATGACAAAAGGACTTAGGAACACAGGCCAGGCAGCAATACACAGGAAGGTTCCAGTGAGCTATTAATTTTACCCTAGAAGGGGTTAAACAAATGTTTTGGGTCAGGAAGAAATATAGGACAGTTAGCACAAATGAATAATTTAAATGTTTGGATAATTTTTAAGCTCTGAAAATGCCATAGTTAACATTTTTAACTTTGGACATGGATTGATTCAAAAATGAGGAGAAAATATAGGATGCACACACATGAGGCAAAACAAACGTAAGATCAAGCCTGGGGCATTTAGTGAGACCCTATCTCAAATTTAAAAAAAAGAAAGGATGGACTAGAGTCTAGCAGCACACTTGCCTAGCATGCATGCTAAAGCCCTTGGATTCAAATTCCCAGATACTACAAAAACAAGGGGGGGGGACAAAAATACACCAAACAAGCCCCCCCAAATTAAAAATTGTTCAAAGTACAGAAGATTTAAATCTAAGTAAAGATTTTGGTGAAAACTAAAGTGTTTAAATAAAATGAATAAAGATCTAGCATTTGCTATTTAAAAGGAAGATTAACAAAGTAACTTGCAGTTATGGCAAAGAGTTAACTTGCTGGGGAAGAAACTTTTCCCAAGCATACAATGATACAGTCTGAAGGAAAACAGACGGAACTAGGATGCCTCCTCTGACAATGTGATCCCCAAATTCCTGCCCTCTAATTCTACATCTGCTCAAGCTTTATATTTTTTAATGGCATAGGCGTGACAATTTCAAAAGCATAAACCACAGTCTGGGGATTTAGCTCAGTGGTTCTGCTGCCTGCCTCACAAGCCCAAGGACACAAGTTTGAACCCTGG